CAGGCAGAGGAGGTGGATGAACAGAAGAGGTTAAAGGACTGTCCTTGTCCCACCTGTACCAATGACAGACCCTTTGCTGAAGGGAGAGTCTGGCCAGCATCTGGACACACAGACAAACACAGACTTTTAGGATGTTTTAGGATATTCAGCTTTCATTAAAAGATAAATCACAGAACAGATTACAACACACGAACACAGCTTTATGGCAAACTCTTACCACCGAGTCCTCAATTCAATTCAAAGAGCCGGATGTCGGTCTGAGCCATCAACCTCGGGCCGGCCACCACTGGCCGCATAATCCTTGAGAACGAATGACCACCGAGTCCTCACGGTCCTCCTGCTCTGTCTGGCAGGTGTTGCCAGGAGCTCGGAAGTACTTGGCCCTGGCTTGAGGAAAAAGGTTTTGGATCAAAAATGAATTTTATGTTTGCATGAAATGATAATACACATTATACTTAATCACAAGCTCTGAGACACACACATGAACCTGGGATGAACTGGTTAAGGTGGAAGCCGGAAGGCTGACCCTGCCCTTTGTCAGTCTACCAGTCTCTGTGTACAGCTGCACACCTGGTGGGTCCTGAATGCAGCTGAGGTGGCTCCTCTGTGTCTCCATATGTCCTGGATGCAGAGAGAATCCAGCAAAGAGACGTCAAGGGTGACGTGGAGATCCTGGATGAGGAGGGCCGTCTCCTCTGCCCCATGTGTCCTCCTCCAACAGCAGAGCCTCCGCTCCTCCCAGGAGATCCTCTGGATCACCTTGGCACCAGTCAGGCCGAGCATCCCGCGCTTCCCCTCTAGCTGGGACAAGATGTGGCGTTATCAATCCAACACACCAAAATCGGTAACCCAGGCAACTGTTTCAGAAGCAGCACCAGCGGGCTTCTTTGTCATCTGGAGGGAGAGAGAGAGAGAGAGAGAGAGAGAGAGAGAGAGAGAGAGAGAGAGGTTTCAAATGTTAATGTTAATATTTGTGTGTGATTTTAGTACACACACAGCAGTGGTGTGAAAGCAGCTGTAAGAACATAAACTCTGCCTGAATTACATTTCATCCTAGAGAAATTCCCTGGTGGGAAGCACCTGTTGGGAAAGAATACTAGAGATGGCTGTTGGACAGATCAATCAGTTAGACATACAGTGCATTTAGAAAGTTCTCACTTTTTTAGATTGTATTATTTTGAAGAATCTTATATTCATCATTAAATTCATTCATCAATGAACAATGCCAGCAAGCTACCTGCTAATGGTAGCGTTACTGAAAATGGGGGTCAACACTATGTACTGTACGTGCACACATTGTTATTTTTACAAATATAATTATTATTTTTACTATTTGTCATTATTATTACATACAATCACAAACAAAATGTCACATTATATACACTTTGTCACTTATCTATCTTCATGGCCAAACTGTCTTCTGTGTTACCTTCTGTTTGTCATCAATAAAGATATAAAAAATGCCAATGCTAGCTATCACCCCACTTGTTATTTTTTGCATTCTTATGAAATTGTTGAATTCATTCATCAGTGAACAATGCCAGTAAGCCAGCTGCTAATAATAGAGCTAATGAAAATGGGGGGGGGGGGTCTATATGCTGTACCCACACATGTACTTTGCCGCATCATCATTTATGTATTGTATATCATTGTTAGCATTATAATTGTAATCAATGTTATTATTGTGGAAAAGAAGCTAATTCTGATGATCAGTGCTAATGGAAACGCTAGCCCACCATTTTCTATTTGCAATCTAGCCCCCAACCCTATGTTGGTTGTCCATGTTTTTTTTTTAAACCAATAATGGAGAAAAAAAAATGCTAATGCTATATGCTAATGCTAGCAAGCTAGCGCCCCCCTTTTGTTCTGCTTGTCCATGTTTTTTTCACCAATAAAGAATTTAAAAAAAAATGCTAATGCTATCTGCTAATGCTAGCGAGCTAGCACCCACCCCCTGTGTTCCGCTTGTCCATGTTTTTTCACCAATAAAGAATAAAAAAAAAAATGCTAAGCTATCTGCTAATGCTAGCAAGCTAGCGCCCACCCCCCTGTGTTCTGCTTGTCCATGTTTTTTTCACCAATAAAGAATTTAAAAAAAAATGCTAATGCTATCTGCTAATGCTAGCGAGCTAGCACCCACCCCCTGTGTTCCGCTTGTCCATGTTTTTTCCCCAATAAAAAAAAAAAAAAAAAAAATGCTAATACTAACAAAAACGGCAGCTAGACCGCGCCCCCCCCAGCACAGGCATTGCACCCAGCAAGCAGGGATAGCTACCCGGCGGCTAATGCTATCTGCTAATGCTAACAAGCTAGCCCCACCCCATGTTCTGCTTGTCCATATTTTTTTTCACCAATAAAGAATCAAATAAAAAAATGCTAATGCTATTGCTAGCTGCTAATGCTAGCAAGCTAGCACCCACCCCCCTGTGTTCTGCTTGTCCATTTTTTTTTCACCAAGAGAATAAAAAAAATGCTAATGCTAATGCTAGCTGCTAATGCTAGCAAGCTAGCCCCCACCCCACATTCTGCTTGTCCATGTTTTTTTCACCAATAAAGAATCAATAAAAAAAATGCTAATGCTAACTAGCTGCTAATGCTAATGCTAGCTAGCTGCTAATGCTAATGCTAGCTAGCTACTAATGCTAACAAAAACGGCGGCTAGCTCGCGCCCCCCCCAGCACAGGCATTGCGCCCAGCAAGCAGAGCTAGCCGCCCGGCGGCTAGCTCGCGCCCCCCCCAGCACAGGCATTGCGCCCAGCAAGCAGAGCTAGCCGCCCGGCGGCTAGCTCGCGCCCCCCCCAGCACAGGCATTGCGCCCAGCAAGCAGAGCTAGCCGCCCGGCGGCTAGCTCGCGCCCCCCCCAGCACAGGCATTGCGCCCAGCAAGCAGAGCTAGCCGCCCGGCGGCTAGCTCGCGCCCCCCCCAGCACAGGCATTGCGCCCAGCAAGCAGAGCTAGCCGCCCGGCGGCTAGCTCGCGCCCCCCCCAGCACAGGCATTGCGCCCAGCAAGCAGAGCTAGCCGCCCGGCGGCTAGCTCGCGCCCCCCCCAGCACAGGCATTGCGCCCAGCAAGCAGAGCTAGCCGCCCGGCGGCTAGCT